AAAAATTAATTGACAATAAATTTGTCTCCATAGTGTGTTTGTAAGTGTACAATCATCTCTTACTCAGCTAAGGGTGAAATGTACTCTCAGTTTGGTTGTCATAATCAGCGTTCAGCAATCCCGGCAGATCAAACCGACTTTGATAGAATCTAGAAATATTACATGTAACATATTAATTAACAGACATAGTATAAAATTACTTGTACAGTTACTACTAGTCATGGCTTAACCCATTGGCATCTTTTTACACAAGCAGCAGTTGAATGTCTATATCACCAATAGTGTTCCAGATATAATAGTTATGTATTTTTAATGAGGTCACATATATGTTGATCAGATCTAGTGTGCAATGTAAATATAACACTGTGCGAATGTTTTTTTCTGCAATATTGCTCCTGATATGACTTTGCACAGACAGACAGACAGACAGACAGACAGACAGACAGACAGACAGACAGACAGACAGACAGACAGACAGACAGACAGACAGACAGAAAGACAGAAAGACAGACAGAAAGTAACAGACTGACTTCCCTATCCCACTGACTACCAGTGTGCAAAAACCTCCAGCTTAATATTCAGACCTCAAACTAATAGAATGACCTCTAATGTAACAAAATGACCCTAAACATAAATGCCATAACAAACTGAAATCCAATGCATCACCATAGAAATAATTTTTACCTATTTGCAAATTTATGTTCATGATCAGTAACAACTACTCCACTAATATTCCCCCTTTTAAGAAACTGTTGTAAAGATGCAGGTGGAAGTGCAGTGTTGATAATTCTATTCACATCAATATCATTCTGGACACCGGCCGCATGCAGGGCGTCATAAATCTTCTTATTCTAGAAAAAATTAGAAGAAAATAAGTAATTTTAGACATACTAAGAAATGCCAAGGGCGAAGTCGATACGTGGTTGTGGGATGTAAAAGGAAGGCTGGGGAAATACAGAGAAATTAATACATTGTATTCATTGGACTTTTGCTATTATAAATCTTAATGGGAAATACCAGTAAAAATAGTGTTCATTACCTCTGGTCCGACTCTAGGGTCGACCTGTTGACTTCTGGGATCAGAATGAACCCACAATTTTGAGGCATTCAGCAGTCCTAATTGTCTAAGTTCTAAAAAGTGTGATATATGCGAAAGACTGACTAATGCTGGTTGGTCCAAGTCTTCTACCAATACATTAGGAAATGAATCTCTCTGCATGTCATAGACCATCCTAGATGAACCAATGTAGTCCCAAGATTCCTAGGGTCAAAAGTAACAAATATGCATAGTGATGAGCTAATTTGCATAATCTGCAGAAATAGATCTAATAGTGCATGCAGAATAATGAGCAGTCTTATACTCAGCAAAATAATAACACTTTCTGCTGAAAACCTCCATAGATAGAAGTGATTTGCTGAAGTTGTCTAACATTACTTCAAATACTTAAATTTACATACCCCTTGAAAAAATGTGAACATAATGTTTGACATGTTGTCTTTTGTTTCTTGTGAAAGTCGTCCCAATGCTTCAATGACAGATAACAAAGTGACAAATCCTGTGACATCATTTTCTGCACCGGCAACCGGACTCATGTTATAAAATAGTGTATCACTGTCCAGCTAAAAATAGCATAAAACATGGTTTATAATACTGTCCTTGTGGAGGGATACAAGTGGACAGTGAAAAGGACTATATTGTGAATGGATATGAGTGGACAGTGAAGAGGACTATATTGTGAATGGATATGAGTGAACAGTGAAGAGGACTTTATTGTGGATGGATATGAGTGGACAGTGAAGAGGACTGTATTGTGGATGGATATGAGTAGATAGTGAAGAGGACTATATTGTGAATGGATATGAGTGAACAGTGAAGAGGACTGTATTGTGGATGGATATGAGTAGATAGTGAAGAGGACTATATTGTGAATGGATATGAGTGAACAGTGAAGAGGACTATATTGTGAATGGATATGAGTAGACAGTGAAGATGACTATATTGTGAATGGATATGAGTGAACAGTGAAGAGGACTATATTGTGAATGGATATGAGTGAACAGTGAAGAGGACTATATTGTGAATGGATATGAGTGAACAGTGAAGAGGACTATATTGTGAATGGATATGAGTAGACAGTGAAGAGGACTATATTGTGAATGGATATGAGTAGACAGTGAAGATGACTATATTGTGAATGGATGAGTGAACAGTGAAGAGGACTATATTGTGAAAGGATATGAGTGAACAGTGAAGAGGACTATATTGTGAATGGATATGAGTAGAC